GACGGAACCCATATCCCTATCTTGGCACCGGAGCACCAAGCCAGCGAGAACATAAACCGCAAGGGGTACTTTTCAATAGTGCTGCAAGCACTGGTGGATCACAAGGGATATTTCACCAACATCAACGTGGGATGGCTGGGAAAGGTACACGACGCTTGCATCCTCAGGAACTCTGGTCTGCTTCAAAAGCTGCAGGAAGGGACTTTATTCCCAGACCAGAAAGTAACTGTTGGGGATGTTGAAATGCCTATCGTTATCCTTGGGGACCCAGCCTACCCCTTAATGCCATGGCTCATGAAGCCGTACACAGGCAGCCTGGACAGTAGTCAGGAGCTGTTCAACTACAGGCTGAGCAAGTGCAGAATGGTGGAACAATGTGCATTTGGACATTTAAAAGCCCGCTGGCGCAGTTTACTGACTCGGTTAGAGCTCAGCTAAACCAATATTCCCACTGTTATTACTGCTTGCTGTGTGCTCCACAATATCTGTGAGAGTAAGGGGGAGACGTTTATGGCGGGGTGGGAGGTTGAGGCAAATCGCCTGGCTGCTGGTTACATGCAGCCAGACACCAGGGCTGTTAGAAGAGCACAGGAGGGCGCGGTACGCATCAGAAGCTTTGAAAACCAGTTTCATGACTGCCCAGGCTATGGTGTGAAAGTTCTGTTTGTTTCTCCTTGATGAAACCCCCCGCCCCTTGGTTCACTCTACTTCCCTGTAAGCTAACCACCGTCCCCACCTCCCTTTGATCACTGCTTCCAGAAGCAATAAAGTCATTGTTGCTTCACATTCATGCATTCTTTATTCATTCATCACACAAATAGGAGGATGACTACCAAGGTAGCCCAGGAGGGGTGGAGGAGGGAAGGAAAATGCCACACAGCACTTTGAAATTTTACAACTTTAAAATTTATTGAATGCCAGCCTTCTGTTTTTTGAGTAATCCTCTGTGGTGGAGTGGCTGGGTGGCCGGAGGCCCCCCCACTGCATTCTTGGGCGTCTGGGTGTGGAGGCTATGGAACTTGGGGAGGAGGGTGGTTGGTTACACAGGGGCTGTAGTGGCGGTCTGTGCTCCTGCTGCCTTTCCTGCAGCTCAACCATATGCTGGAGCATATTGGTTTGATCCTCCAGCAGCCTCAGCATTGAATCCTGCCTCTTCTCATCATGCTGCCACATTTGAGCTTCAGCCCTGTCTTCAGCCCGCCACTTATTCGCTTCAGTCTGCCACCTCTCCTCCCGGTCATTTTGTGCTTTCCTGCACTCTGACGTTGTCTGCCTCCATGCATTCATCTGTGCTCTGTCAGTGTGGGAGGACAGCATGAGCTCAGAGAACATTTCATCACGAGTGCGTTTTTTTTTCTTTCTAATCTTCACTATTCTCTGGGAAGGAGAAGATCCTGTGATCATTGAAACACGTGTAGCTGGTGGAGGAAAAGAAAGGGACAGTGGTATTTAAAAAGACATTTTATAAAACAGTGGCTACACTCTTTCAGGGTAAACCTTGCTGTTAACATTACATACATAGCACATGTGCTTTGGTTACAAGGTCGCATTTTGCCTCCCCCCACTGCGTGGCTACCCCCTCAACCCTCCCCCCTCCCCATGGCTAACGGTGGGGAACATTTCTGTTCAGCCACAAGCAAACAGCCCAGCAGGAACGGGCACCTCTGAATGTCCCGTTAAGAAAAGCACCCTATTTCAACCAGGTGACCATGAATGATATCACTCTCCTGAGGATAACACAGAGAGATAAAGAAAGGATGTTGTTTGAATGCCAGCAAACATACACTGCAATGCTTTGTTCTACAATGATTCCCGAGTACATGCTACTGACCTGGAGTGGTAAAGTGTCCTACCATGGTGGACAGAATAAGGCTGCCCTCCCCAGAAATCTTTTGATAAGGCTTTGGGAGTACATCCAGGAGAGCTTTATGGAGATGTCCCTGGAGTACATTCCTATTCCATGATGAGATATCTTTGAGCTATAATGTATCTTAATTAAAAACTATCTTTAGATAAAATGCTCTTTGAGGAAAAAACTTATCAAGAAATCTGATTTAAATTAAAAAAAAAATCCATTTTTTTTTAAATTTTAAAATAATTTATTTTTATCCACCCCACTATATGCTGTATTTGTTAATTGATTGTATTTAACTGCCCCCTGTGGATTTAAATTAATAGTGACATTTAATCTTAGTCGGTTATACCCTGTTTCTTTACATAAGTTGTTAAGTAAAGGAAGTAAAGGTGTGTTAACTCTAATCTAAGTGGATGGGCTGTATATTGATAATTGGTATTTCTGAGTTACACTCATGCCACAGATTATTATTAATTATAATTATTATTATTAGAATGGGTTTATTCCTGTAGGTTCCCAAGGCACACCATTGAGTGTGTATAGGAACCAGCCAGATGGAGGCACCGCCAATTTTAAATTCCTTTGGGAGTAAAGGGACTGCAGCAGAGGGGTGGATAGAGGATTCCCACCTACCCAATGTCACCACTAGGATACCCAGCATCTAATTTGCTGTCAGGAACATCAGGCGCCCAGGGACACAGGGGAGTGTTGCCTGCTCCCGAGTAACCCAGGGAGGCAAGTGGGGGTTACACTAGAGCACCCTTTGTCCCACCGGGGTGGCTTCTGGAAAGGACTGATTATAGGTTGAGGGTTTTGCGTGTGTGTCAACAGCTTTTTTTGTTGGTGTTCCCTCACCCTACGCTTCCTGTCTTCCAGTTCCAGAGCTTTCTGGTGTGCTTCCATTTGCTATTGCTTTTTTGCCTCCCCCTCTTTGGCTCTCTGTTCAGCTTCCCATTTCTGGTGCTCACACTCCTTGTCGGCTTTCTCTAATTCTAGTCTGGCCAACTCTAACTTCATGGAGGTTTCACGGTTGCCTGCCTCGGCCTTGATCATTTTTGTACTTTCTTTTCTTCCGTTTCTATCACCCAAGATAAACAAACAGAAAATGTCAAAACTGGAATCTTTTTTGTCTCTTTCCAACTTTCTCATCTGTGAATCTTGTAGTATCTAATTGACCAGTGCTTGGAGGGTGACGCTCACCAACTGTGTGTAAATTCTGCCATCACTACGGCACTGTGACGCTTTCTCAGGGTGCCCAGAACTATGAGTCATGTTGTTATCCCTCTGCCTTAGCCTTTACTTGGCCTTGTGGGTAACACTTGGTACAGCCCAGTTCCTGAATCCCCTTTAAGAGCATTCCCATGTTGTGCCCAGCCCCGTCACTGGACACTCCCCGAAATTACCCAGTTTGCTGGCTCCCAAGAGACATTGTACACATCAGCCTGTTTGATTCAACTGAGGATTCACACATGGCTTCATATTACAACACAGAGAGGTACTTGTGATAAATAATAAGAAGTTTATTAACAAAGCTAGAGATTTAAGTGATACTGAGTAAGGATAATGGAAATAATTGATTACAAATAAAACAAAAAGATAAGCCGCTTCTACAAGACTAGGACTTAACTTCAGCAAGTTAATCTTATGTAAAGCAGTTTCTCACCTAAAGTCACTGGCTCACATGGCCAAGATCCAACTTTCATGAATGCAAAGAGCACTGTCTTGTTTGCTTCCTCAGTGAAGGATAACCAAGGAGTTTTTCTTCCTCCTTCTTATTATCCAGTAAACCTTGGAAATGGATTCTTTTTCCAGTGTACCCACCCCCCTCTCCGCTTGTTCTCTGGTGTGCTGACATCATGGTGCTTTCTTCATCCTCCGGCTAACCTAATCTTCCTGTTTACCTCAGATGCAAATGTACCTGCCATTGCATTTGGCTTCACAATACTTGACTTACATCAGAGACCTAGGCAGACAGGTACATCAACATTCCTTTGCTGGGGAAAGACTTGTTTGTCAACCCCGTTTATCAAACCCTGTGATTTGAACATATTTTAATACATACACACAATTTAATTATTTCCTGTACAAACATCATGCAGTATGCTATAAGCTTTCATTTGACTCTCACATGACCTTCATTACAGATAAATACTCTGACAGCCATGTGGCGGACAGGCCAAGTAGGAGTTGCTGTTATAGGACAATGACCCTTTGGCAGTTGGGATTGAGGGACTCAGACTCACAGCCTGGGTTTGCTTGGAGAAATTAATTTAACAGTCACAACTTTGTAAGTAAGCTAAAGTATTTTAATCTTAGCATTGTAACTTTTAACAGTGTGAAAAACCAAGGCTGATTCTGTAAGGTTAATTTTCCTTGTAGACATAGGGCTAGACTCTTAAAGGCATTTAGGCTTTGTTGCTCTCAGCATTGCAATGCCTAACTGGTTTAAGAGCATAAGTCTCATTTTCAAATGGGATTTAAGCATTTAGGAGCTTAGACAGGATATCTTAAAGAAAAGAAAAAACAATGCTGCATATCACCATGTCACATCTTTGGTGGGTTTTAAAGTTTGCTTTTCAAAATATCAAAAGAAGCTTCGGCAATGGGGCCAGGCTAATCCTTGGTGTAACTCCAGTAAGGTCAGTCGAGTTTCACCAATTTACACCTAGTCTGAACTTTGCCCTGTAAGTGTCTGAGATTTTATTTTTAGTAAAATGACTGCCCTGTTTGATGTTGCAGTTTGAGCTACTATAAGTTTATGTGAAAGCTGAATAGATCTCTCAGCTCTAGCCAAAGGGCCAAATTCTTCCCTCGGTGACCTGGCTGTCAATGCAGAGTATTCCAGTGAAGCTAATGGAAACACTCCATTACGAATGCAGGAGGAGAGCTGATACAGGACTGTAAATCCATACGGTTGCTCTTAAGTTAATGGAGTAACTCTGGATTTACAACAGTTTATCTGAGTGTAGAAACTGGCTCAGCATATTTAAATTATTCTAATATATATCATTAATAAAGAACAAATGCGGATAGCTTTAGTCATATTGTCTGAATGTGCTGCACTGGCATAAGGGTGAGGGTGCCTGAGAAGCTGAGATGCAGGGTTTGGGACGCAGCAGGGTTAGGTTGCAATGAGACTTTATGAATGACTGTCAGTGACAAGGTAGATCAGGAGAAGTACAATAATAAGAACTACTGCAGCAACCCCAAAGGCCAAAATAACTTTCCTATACTTGGTAAACAGAGTGGTCACCCTGGTTCTTTTATTTATTCCAGTAAGATACCTCACTTTTTGTTCCGTTAAATTAGGTTCCAAATACACCTCACTGACGTAATACCTGCCCCCATTCTCCTGAACCGTTCTCTGGATCATTTCAATCAGCTCAGAAACCTGTTCAGCCTGTTCTGCTCCGGTTGCTCTGTTATTGAAAGCACAATATCGATCCCCACACTTCTGAATCAGCCCCTTCAGATCTTTGTTATCTGAGTATCTCACGTAGTCATGCAGTGAGCTGACCGCTAAATCTTCTTTCCGGGTGAACAGGACAATCATGTGCCTCATGGATTCAACTCCAAAAATCTCCTGTACTCGCTTCACTGCGTACTTGTCTTCCTCAGTGTAACGGCCCAGCTGGGTCACCAGCAGCAGAGCGTGGGGGCCAGGGGCAGAGAGCGCGATACAGCGAACAATCTCTCTAGATGTTACTGGCTCAAAAGCCTTTTGGTCAAAAATGGCAGGTGTGTCAATAACCACAAGCTCCCTCCCATTCCAGCTCCTTTGCCCCTTTTCACAAGTCAAAGTTACTGACTTTGCCCCGAGTTTGGACTCAAACTTTCTTTTCCCAAGGATGGAGTTTCCTGTTGCACTTTTCCCAGCTCCAGTTTTGCCAACAAGGATGATTCTGAGTTCCGATTTCCTGCCGTCATCTGCAGTTGATGGGGACAGGTTTGACAGTCAGAACATCATTGCACAGATAAAAGTAAATGAGTAGGAGTTACACCTAATTCTGAGGCTGAGAGTCCCAGAGTAAACAACATCCATCCAGTCCCTCATCCCAGCTTGTCTCTGTCCTCTGGGATGTCTTGTCACTTTAAATTGAACATGACCTAAACTCCGTATCCTCTCTCCCATACCTTCTCTGCTTCCTCCTTTCCCTATCACTCTTTGGATCACCACCATTCTCACCGTCACTCAGGCCAGCAGTCCGGGGGCGCTTTTTTACTCCTCTCTCTCCTCTGTCTCACACATCTAGGCCAGATCCAAATCCAACTGGTTCTTCTTCCTCAGCACCTTCAAGTTCTGTCCTTTTCTCTCCAGCCCTACACCTAAGTTCCCTTTCAGAACCTCAGTGTATTCTGCCTTGATTACTGCAACTCCTCCTCTCTGGCTTCCCAGACATACACATCAGACCCTTCAGTCCATTCAAAATATTACCACTAAATGTGTCTTCCTTGCCTGTTGGTTCGATCATGCAACTTCTCTCTTTCTAGTCTGCCGTTGGCTCCCTGTCTGACAGAATAGGTTCTTATACCTCACTCATCACTGTCGAATCGGAACACCTCTGTCTCTGGTTTTACACAGATAACCCCTGGACCCACACACAGAGCTGACGCTCTTTGTACTGGATCCTAACGTCAGATGTAAATACGAGGCCTATAAAAACAAACCCTTGTGTTCTGGTCAGACCACTTCCTCCTTCAGATGTTCAAATCTCTGAACATTTGACCATCACATTTAAGCTTCTTGTCTCTACCTTCAAATTACTATAGGACTCTGCACCTCATTACATATCCTCGCTTTGCCCCATCTCCTCCACTCTATTAATGCTCCTAATCTGTTTTTTCAGATTCTTGCACAATCACCTGTGTGCTTTCTTTATTGTAGCCCCCATCGCATGCTATGATCTTGCTAATCTCACCTGCAAAATTCTTACTCTGTCCACATCAAAATCCCTCTTAAAAACCCACTTCTGCTGTGTTGCATACAGTGAATCAGGTTGACTTGCCTATAAATTACCTCCTGTTCTTCCCTAGCTCTATATAGCTGGTCAAGCAGGATAACACATTTCATACACATTTGTTTCCATTTTTTGGGTTAAAATTTGAAAAAAGTTGTACGGATCTGCCTGGAAATGATTGGGGGAGCTGGGGAATGGGGTGTGCCTGGTACACAGACTCTCAGTGTCATTGGATTGGAATGAAGCTCTGCCTTGCTTCTACTCTCATCTCTTTCTTGATCAAAAGTGGTATGTTCTTGATTTACAGTTTGCAGCTGCTGTAGCAGCCTGAGATATGGACAAATTTACAGCTACTGGCAAAGGGATTTTCTTTGTGAGGGTTGTCCCCAGCAGAAGACAAAGTTACAGAGGTAATGTCACTGCCATTCCCCCAGTAACTGCACCCATGCTAGAGCCACTAAAATAATTTTGGGCAACTAAAGGTATATTTAGAATATGCCTCAATCCCCTAGAGCTTGTGGGGTTCTCTTTTACTTTACTGAAAAACTTGAGCTGAGCAAAATATAGAAGTGAGACCAGAATAGGGCCTTTTGTGTAACTGTCTTACCATAGAAGGTGACATTCTCTCCTTTTTGCTTGGTCCCATCCATCTCATCCTGAAATATTTGTAATAAAACATATGTTATTTACAAACATACTTTAACCAAGGAACTCAGAACATAGAAAAATACTCATTTAGAAAAACTCAGTAATACACATAATAAATAGTAATAACAATAATCACTGCTATGTAAGTCTATTATGGTCGGAAAAGTGAGTTTCTGAACATGATACCTTGATATTTCATGTTTAACCTCCATTAGTGTTTTCATCACATCTGCCTAACTTTAAGCACATGGGTCGTCCTCCTGAAGTCGAGAGTTAGGTTTAGTCTTTGAAAATCGGTTCTGTTATTGCAGCCTTGTACATACCTCCATTTTCATCAGCAACAGAAGTTCTGGAATCAGAACTTAGTCAACAGTTTGGCTGTTGACGCACAAGGCAGAGAGAATGCAGCTTGTACTTCAGTACTGATACTGCCTTTGCAGCACTGACTTGTACAAAACAGGTGTCAGTTCATAAATTAAGTGGCTATGATTCAGTTAGAGCCAATTTTGGGAGAAGATGGCACAACCAGAGCTGGGCAAAAAATTTTGATGCAATTTTTTTCATTGAAAAATCCTGAATTGGGTCAACCAAAACATTTTGCGAATTTGGGTTGAATTTGCCAAAATATTTTGGCTGGAAAAAAATTCAGAAAAAGTTGAAATGTTTCATTCTGACATTTTCTAAATTCTGGGATGTATTAGCAGGAGTGTTGTAAGCAAGACACGAGAAGTAATTCTTCTGTTCTACTCCACACTGATTAGGCTTCAACTGGAGTATTGTGTCTAGTTCTGGGCGCCACATTTCAGGAAGATGTTGGCAAATTGGAGAGAGTCTAGAGAAGAGCAACAAAAATGATTAAATGTCTAGAAAACATTACCTATGGGGGAAGATTGAAAGAATTGGGTTTGTTTAGTCTGGAAAAGAAGACTGAGAGAGGTCATGATAACAGTTTTCAAGTATGTAAAAGGTTGTTACAAGGAGGAGGGAGAAAAATTGTTTTTCTTAACCTCTGAGGACAGGACAAGAAGCAATGGGCTTAAATTGCAGCAAGTGAAGTTTAGGTTGGACATTAGGAAAAACTTCCTTCCTGTCAGGGTGGTTAAGCACTGGAATAAATTGCCTAGGGAGGTTGTGGAGTCTCCATCATTGGAGATTTTTAAGAACAGGTTAGGCAAACACCTGTCTAGATAATACTTAGTCTTGCCGTGCATGCAGGGGACTGGACTAGATGACCTTTCAAGGTCCCTTCCAGTCCTATGACTCTATTAATCACTGCATCAGTGAACTTTGCTGATAAGATCAACCAAATGTGCATAGAACTAAATGGGAAAGAAATCTCCATTCCTGACCAGATCATACTATTCCTCTAGCTACCCTGGACTGAATTCGATCCCTTGACACATGCTGAAGATCAAAAAGACCTGAAAAATATTAGAGCCGCAACCTGCGAAATGGATCCCTACCCCTCTTGGTTGATGAACGCCCGGGAAAGCAAAAACTATGTTCACTACCAGTGGAAATAGTCAATGCCTTCTTCAGAAAACAAACCCGCCAAAATCCATGAAAAGCACAATACTTCACCCAATCCTCAAGAATCCATCAGTAGTCCCTAATGCCCTCCAACCATTATCCTGTCTTCAACCTTCCATTTCTGGCCAAAATCAAGGAGAAAGTAGTAACCACAAAGTGCCAGCAACATGTGACATCAGACAACATCCTGGATGTCTCACAATCAGGGTTCAGACTAGGGCACAGCACAGAAACAGCTCTAGTGGCACTAAAAAGATGACCATGGACACAGGTAAGCTTTCCATGCCCATGTTGCTGGACCTTTCTGCAGTTTTAGACACAGTGGACCAGAAGCCACTGCTAACCCACTGACGTGACATAGCAGGAGTAGATGGCCTAACACTATAGCTGTTCCTATTACTAAATTCAAGCAAAACTCTGGTAACTGTGGTAACTGTTCCTCTTCTCTGAAGGCCCTCACCTGAGACTCACCGAGATCCAGACTATCCGCGCTTCTCTTCACTATTTACATGAGAGCACTGGGGGAGACAGTGATTCACCATCAGCTAGGCTGCCAACACCATGTCAGTGGTACTAAAGACACACAGATACGACCATGATGAGGATGTCATAAGAACCAATGTGCACTAAGAGTGACAGACTGTGTTGTGGAATTTAAAGTGACTGAGTTAGACAGGGTATTTGACCTTTTCTTCTACATTAGAAAACTCCACTGGTATAACATGAATCACTGTAGTAAACTGAGGTATCTTATTGTGACTATGTGGGATCACACGGTTAGAGTTTCACAATTTTCAAAAAGAATGAGGAGTACTTGTGGCACCTTAGAGACTAACAAATTTATTTGGGCATAAGCTTTTGTGGGCTAAAACCCACTTCATCAGACGCATGGAGTGGAAAATACAGTAGGAAGATATATATATATATACACACACACAGAGAACATGAAGAGATGGGGGTTGCCATACCAACTCTTAATGAGACAAATCAATTAAGGTGGGCTATTATCAGCAGGAGAAAAAAAGACTTTTGTTGTGGTAATCAGGGTGGCCCATTTCAAACAGTTGACAAGAAGGTGTGAGTAACAGTAGGGGGAAAAATTAGCATGGGGAAACAGTTTTTAGTTTGTGTAATGACCCATCCACTCCCAGTCTTTATTCAGGCTTAATTTGATGGTGTCCAGTTTGCAAATTAATTCCAGTTCTGTAGTTTCTTGTTGGAGTCTGTTTTTGAAGTTTTGTTGTTGAAGAATTGCCACTTTTAGGTCTGGAGACTAACCAATTTATCTGAGCATAAGCTTTCATGAGTTACAGCTCACTTCATCGGATTCAACTCATGATGTAGCTTACGCTCACTTCATCAGATGTAGCTCACGAAAGCTTATGCTCAAATAAATTGGTTAGTCTCTAAGGTGCCACAAGTACTCCTTTTCTTTTTGCGAATACAGACTAACACGGCTGCTACTCTGAAACCTGTCACTTTTAGGTCTGTAATTGAGTGTCCAGGGAGGTTGAAGTGTTCTCCAACTGGTTTTTGAACATTACAATTCTTGATGTCTGATTTGTGTCCATTTATTCTTTTTTGTAGAGACTGTCCAGTTTGGCCAATGTACATGGCAGAGGGGCATTGCTGGCACATGATGGCATATATCACATTGGTAGATGTGCATGTGAATGAGCCCCTGATGGTATGGCTGATGTGATTAAGTCCTATGATGGTGTCCCTTGAATAGATATGTGGACAGAGTTGGCAACAGGGTTTGTTGCAAGGATAGGTTCCTGGGTTAGTGTTTTTGTTGTGTGGTTGCTAGTGAGTATTTGCTTCAGGTTGGGGGGCTATCTGTAAGCGAGGACTGGCCTGTCTCCCAAGGTCTTTGAGCATGAGAGATCGTCCTTCAGGATAGGTTGTAGATCCTTGATGATGTGCTGGAGAGGTTTTAGTTGGGGGCTGAAGGTGACGGCTAGTGGCGTTCTGTTACTTTCTTTGTTGGGCCTGTCCTGTAGTAGGTTACTTCTGGGTACTCTTCTGGCTATATATATCTATATCTATATATATCTATCTCTAATCTCTATCTCCCTACTGTATTTTCCACTCCAATCATCTGATGAAGTGGGTTTTAGCCCACGAAAGCTTATACCCAAATACATTTGTTAGTCTCTAAGGTGCCACAAGTACTCCTCGTTCTTTTTGCTGATACAGACTCACATGGCTACCACTCTGAAACCTGTCACAATTTTCAAACTGTTTCCAAATTGTTATTTCAGCATATGCAAAGCTTCATAGAACTAGAACTGGTTTTAAAAAGAAAACAGGGAAAATTTTGAAAATATTTTCATTAACTTCTTTTGTTCTTTTACCAACGACAGAGCTGATCAATTTTTTTTTGAAATTTTGAAAAAAAGTCAGTATAAAAATTTATTGAAAAATCCCTGTTCCTCCCTACCCCGTTTATTCATCCAGCTTTAGAAGAACGCTTTCACCTGATGAAATTAATAGGCAGGAAGTTTAATCAGAGGATGTACTTTTTCACATAATGCCTAACTAACCTGTGGAACTCATTTCTGTGGGAAGTTATGATGTCCAAAAGTATAACTGGGTTAAAAAAAGAACTGGATACGTTTATGGAGAATAGGTCTATCAATGGCTATTGGCCAAAAAGGCCAGACGACACAAGCCCATGCTCGGGGTGATCCTAAACCTCTGATTACCAGAAGCCAGGAGTGGAAGATACTGCCCTGTCCTGGACACTCCTCCTGAAGTTCTGGCACGAGCGATTGTCATAGACAGGCTACTGGGCAAGATGGACCATGATCTGACCTAGTTAGGAGGCAGTGTGTGTTTTTCTAGCAATTGTTCAAGCCGGGATTCAAGAAAGCAGAGGAAGACCCAGAGTCAAAGATAGATTCTGTGTGTGCATCTGATTTTGCCATCCTAAGCTTCCCACCTATATTTCTCTATGATCTACTTTTTGATCACTTGCTGCTAGCTCACAGTGTTGCTCACAATCTCAAAAGGGCCTGTTCTCATGAGCTTACAAGTCTGGTTTCTCTATCAAGTTGGTTCTGACACATAGTAACCAAACCTTAGAACCTCTGTGGATTTGTCCTTCACTAGTACATACCGGCATGGTTGTTCCAAGTGATTGATAGGCTGACATTTCTCCTTTAAAACAGGGATCTTAAACAGCTTTTTTCCTGAAAAATCAATGGAACTGGTTAATACTCATGAAAGCCAAGACCAAATCCCATCTCATGTGTGTCTCTTTGTTCTTGTGCAAACTGAAGGGTGGTTTATTTCTTAATTATTTTATTTATACAGTGCCATGAATATGCATGGCATTACAGATGAAGAGAAGACAAGGGGGGAGATTTTCAGAGGCATAAGTTGCATTTAATGTCCATGGACGCTAGGTCCCTAACTGATATTTGTGCCTTTGAAACTCTTCCTTCATGTCCCTACCACAAGAGCTTAGAAGCTAAGATCTCGATCCTAGAATTGGAGCTGCTAGTGCAGAGGTCGGCAACCTTTGTCACCCTTTATCGTCAGGTAAAGCCGCTGGCTGGCTGGGCTGGTTTGTTTATCTAGAGTGTCCGCAGGCACGGAGCCCCGCAGCTCTCACTGGCCACGGTTCACTGTTCCCGACCAATGGGAGCTGTGGGAAGTAGTGGCTAGCACGTCCCTCGGCCCACGCCACTTCCTGCAGCTCCCATTGGCCAGGAAAGGCGAACTGCGGCCAATGGGAGCTGCGGGGCTCCATACTTGCAGATGCTCCAGATAAACAAACCGGCCAGGCCCGCCAGCGGCTTTTCCCTGATGGGCTGGTTGACAACGGTTGCCGACCCCTGTGCTAGTGTAACCCACACACCTCCTGGGTGTGGTGTTCTATCCCCTCTAGTGGCACAGAGACCCTTAGAGAGAGAAAGCAAATGAGTCTGCTCTACAGGCTTAGCTACCAGCCAACTGGCTTTTGGCTCATGCGGTAGAGTCTCATACACTAAGCTTCAGAGGTCCCCGGTTCTATCCTGCCCGTCAACGACCGGGGTTTGTCGACATTACACTAGCATGGATGCTGTGCCTGCATGGAGATCCATTGACTGTAATTGTGGCTTTTCCAAAGTGAAATGGTGCTAGTGGATTCAATTGCAGTATCGGGGTCTAAGGCCAGAATCCATAAAGGGACTTTTAGGTGTCTTGAAAATCACTGGAATCCACAAACCGTGGGTTAGGCACCTAGGCTCCCTGTACAATGCATGGGGAGAGATAGGTAAAAGCCAGGATGCTAGGCAAGGAGCCAATAGGAGATACTGCTGAGAAGGGTGTGGTCCTAAGTCCTGCCCCCTCAAGGAATTTGGTGCCTAAAGCCAGAACTGCACGAAGGCACCTTGTTCTACTTGCAACCCACAGCCAGGAACCCCTCTTGTAGAGTCAGGCAGCTTCGTTGCCAGCCTAACTCCCTACAGAATGGTTGATGGTTGGAAGACAACAGTTCCCTTATAACCTTCAGCCCAGTGGTTAGGGAAGTCACCCAGGGGATAGAAGACATCAGTTCAATTCCCCCTTTGTCTGATGAGTAGGGATTTGAACAGGGTTTCCCCATGTCTCAAGTGAGTGCTGTGCTCTATATAATCATTCTGGCCCAACACACATTGAATAAAAAGTGGAATGGCTTCAATGTGAGAGACTGAGAGACACCCACCTCAGACTGTTCCATAGTCCTACTGAATTGGGCCCTGCAGGCAAGACAGGCATTTCCCTGCCTTTTTCACCTGGTTTCATAGAATCATAGAATCATAGAATCATAGAATATAAGGGTTGGAAGGGACCCCAGAAGGTCATCTAGTCCAACCCCCTGCTCAAAGCAGGACCAATTCCCAGTTAAATCATCCCAGCCAGGGCTTTGTCAAGCCTGACCTTAAAAACCTCTAAGGAAGGAGATTCTACCACCTCCCTAGGTAACGCATTCCAGTGTTTCACCACCCTCATAGTGAAAAAGTTTTTCCTAATATCCAATCTAAACCTCCCCCACTGTAACTTGAGACCATTACTCCTCGTTCTGTCTTCTGATACCATTGAGAACAGTCTAGAGCCATCCTCTTTGGAACCCCCTTTCAGGTAGTTGAAAACAGCTATCAAATCCCCCCTCATTCTTCTCTTCTGCAGGCTAAACAATCCCAGCTCCCTCAGCCTCTCCTCATAACTCATATGTTCCAGACCCCTAATCATTTTTGTTGCCCTTCGCTGGACTCTCTCCAATTTATCCACATCCTTCTTGAAGTGTGGGGCCCAAAACTGGACACAGTACTCCAGATGAGGCCTCACCAATGTCGAATAGAGGGGAACGATCACGTCCCTCGATCTGCTCGCTATGCCCCTACTTATACATCCCAAAATGCCATTGGCCTTCTTGGCAACAAGGGCACACTGCTGACTCATATCCAGCTTCTCGTCCACTGTCACCCCTAGGTCCTTTTCCGCAGAACTGCTGCCTAGCCATTCGGTCCCTAGTCTGTAGCTGTGCATTGGGTTCTTCCGTCCTAAGTGCAGGACCCTGCACTTATCCTTATTGAACCTCATCAGATTTCTTTTGGCCCAATCCTCCAATTTGTCTAGGTCCTTCTGTATCCTATCCCTCCCCTCCAGCGTATCTACCACTCCTCCCAGTTTAGTATCATCCGCAAATTTGCTGAGAGTGCAATCCACACCATCCTCCAGATCATTTATGAAGATATTGAACAAAACCGGCCCCAGGACCGACCCTTGGGGCACTCCACTTGATACCGGCTGCCAACTAGACATGGAGCCATTGATCACTACCCGTTGAGCCCGACAATCTAGCCAGCTTTCTACCCACCTTGTAGTGCATTCATCCAGCCCATACTTCCTTAACTTGCTGACAAGAATACTGTGGGAGACCGTGTCAAAAGCTTTGCTAAAGTCAAGAAACAATACATCCATTGCTTTCCCTTCATCCACAGAACCAGTAATCTCATCATAGAAGGCGATTAGATTAGTCAGGCATGACCTTCCCTTGGTGAATCCATGCTGGCTGTTCCTGAGGATCACACTCTGTTTGAGGATCACACTCTGGCTTTGTCATGGGAACCCCATACTGTGGACTCGTTTGTATGCAGTGAGTGGAGGAAGGACAGACCACTCAGGATTTCATTTTACATTACACATCATATATTCATATTTTCATTTTTTGGACTGGCTGCTTGCTTTTGTTTTGTGCCAGACTAAGCCTGAATCTATAGTGTCGGTGAGCTCGTTGTGCTAGGATGGCTATAGTAAATTAAAAAGTAGCTAGGCAGATGGCCTACAGAGACTCAATACAATACCATCTTTAAAAAACTCTGGTTTGACTCTAAACCTGCAAATTGTGCACATAGCAAGCCCAGGTAAACATGGATTCCTACACTGTTACCCCTGGTGTCCCCTCCCTTGGCTGATTTTAGGTAATGAAATAAAAGGGAAATATTGAGTTGAGGAGCGCATAAGACAAAATAAAGTTCTGGGGAGGATGCCTTTTTGTCTTTGAGACATTAACTGAAGGCAGATGAGACAAAGCCATACATTTAGTCAAAGCAGGTGGAGGATAGACAGTGAGAAATCATTATAAGTATCAGAAGACAGGTTTGAGGGGACTGGGCATCTCTGCACCTGAGCTGAGCTCAGCCGTGGGATTGAGTAAGGAGGAAGGTGGCTTTATAATAACTTTGTGCCTCCACTAACTTGGGACAAGGGCAGGGCTGGGGGAGGGCTGGACTCTCATGGACACAGTAGTCTCCAGGCTGTCCAAAATTACACCCGGCTATCTTGGGTTGTTGCAGCATTTGGGAATAAATGCATACCATCTGTAAATGTCAAGCATTCTCTGTCAAAACTTTATTCCCCTCCACCCCCATGTGCTCCCTTATCCCCTTTGGAAACAGATCTCAGGCAGGCTTTAGGCACCTAAATATCAAACAGAAAGACAAAGGCTTGTTCCCTGTATTTCCTCCTGCTACCTTAGAAGTGTTTTCATTTGTCAAGCTTTGTAGCCAGTTTAAAATACCTCTCTTGCCCACCCTTATTTTCTCTCCCTATGCCTCTCTCTCACTCTTATAGACACACACACACACACACACACACACACACACACACACCTTCTTCATCATCTGGTCAACTTGGAGATCAAACCTGTGATATTTCTTCAGATTAAGCAGATATTTCCATCTTCTGCACAGTCCTTCCAGCCGGTGGTATTATACAAAAATGTCTGAAGTCTTCTGGTTTCCTCTTTTTGACAGTTGCTTCAAATTAGTAGTTAATGAAATTGTTGTGAAAATGAAAACAAACTACTCAGTGATCCAAATTTCATTCTAAGTAAATGCAGTGGGATGAGCTACTGCCACTGAACAGGAAATACCATTTGCGAAATAAACAAGTCTGAATTTTACAGGAAGTGGTTTGTGTAGAACAGTAGCAACGTATGAGAACATTCAGCCTGTGTCATAAATATAAAGGGAAGGGTCACCACCTTTCTGTATACAGTGCTATAAAATCCCTCTTGGCCAGAGGCAAAACCCTTTTACCTGTAAAGGGTTAAGAAGCTAAGGTAACCTTGCTGGCGCCTGACCAAAATGGCCAATGAGAGGACAAGATTCTTTCAAATCTGGAGGGGGGGGAACAAAGTGTTTGCTCTGTCTGTGTGATGCTTTTGCCGGGACCAGAGCAGGAATGCAGGTCAGAACTCCTGATGAATCCAGTTGTGCATTTTGTATTGTTTCTCATGCACATATATCTTCCAGGGTACAATCCTATATTTTTTCCCTTAAAATGGACATATTTACCAAATCATAGAATCATAGAATATCAGGGTTGAAAGGGACCTCAGAAGGTCATCTAGTCCAACCCCCTGCTCAAAGCAGGACCAATCCCCAACTAAATCATCCTAGCCAGGGCTTTGTCAAGCCTGACCTTAAAAACTTCTAAGGAAGGAGATTCCACCACCTCCCTCGGTAACGGCATTCCAGTGTTTCACCACCCTCCGAGTGAAAAAGGACTTCAAGGAGCAGAGAATCCTCCAGCAAGTGACCCGTGCCCCATGCTACAGAGGAAGGCAAAAAACCTCCAGGGCCTCTTCCAATCTGCCCTGGAGGAAAATTCCTTCCCGACCCCAAATATGGCGATCAGCTAAACCCTGAGCATATGGGCAAGATTCACTAGCCAGATACTACAGAAAATTCTTTCCTGGGTAACTCAGATCCCACCCCATCTAACATCCCATCACAGACCATTAGGCCTATTTACCATGAATATTTAAAGATCAATTAACTATCAAAATCATGATATCCCATCATACCATCTCCTTCATAAACTTATCGAGTTTAATCTTAAAGCCAGATAAATCTTTTGCCCCCGCTGCTTCCCTTGGAAGGCTATTCCAAAACTTCACTCCTCTGATGGTTAGAAACCTTCGTCTAATTTCAAGACTAAACTTCCTGGTGGCCAGTTTATATCCATTTGTTCTTGTGTCCACATTGGTACTGAACTTAAATAATTCCTCTCCTTCTCCAGTTTTTATCCCTCTGATGTATTTATAGAGAGCAATCATATCTCCCCTCAACCTTCTTTTACTTAGGCTAAACAAGCCAAGCTCCTTGAGTCTCCTTTCATAAAACAAGTTTTCCATTCCTCGGATCATCCTAGTAGCCCTTCTCTGTACCTGTTCCAGTTTGAATTCATCCTTCTTAAACATGGGAGACCAGAACTGCACACAGTATTCCAGGTGAGCATCATAGTCATCCTATGATCAACCAATACTCCAAGGTCCTTCTCCTCCTCTGTTACTTCTAATTGATGCATCCCCAGCTTATAACTAAAATTCTTGTTATTAATCCCTAAATGCATAACCTTACACTTCTCACTATTAAATTTCATCCTATTACTATTACTCCAGTTTATAAGGTCATCCAGATCCTCCTGTATGATATCCCTGTCCTTCTCTAAATTGGCAATACCTCCCAGCTTTGTATCATCCACAAACTTTATTAGCATACTCCCACTTTTTATGCCAAGGTCAGTAATAAAAAGATTAAATAAGATTGGTCCCAAAACTGATCCTTGAGGAACTCCACTGGTAATCTCCCTCCAGCCTGACAGTTCACCTTTCAGTAGGACCCGTTGTAGTCTCCCCTTTAACCAATTCCTTATCCACCTTTCAATTTTCATATTGATCCCCATCTTTTCCAATTTAACTAATAATTCCCCATGTGGCACCGTATCAAATGCCTTACTGAAATCGAGGTAAATTAGATCCACTGCATTTCCTTTGTCTAAAATATCTGTTACTTTCTCAAAGAAGGAGATCAGGTTGGTTTGGCACGATCTACCTTTTGTAAAACCATGTTGTATTTTGTCCCATTTACCATTGACCTCAATGTCCTTAACTACTTTCTCCTTCAAATTTTTTTCCAAGACCTTGCATACTACAGATGTCAAACTAACAGGCCTGTAGTTACCTAGATCACTTTTTTTCCCTTTCTTAAAAATAGGAACTATGTTAGCAATTCTCCAATCATACGGTACAACTCCTGAGTTTACAGATTCATTAAAAGTTTTTGCTAATGGGCTTGCAATTTCGGGTGCCAATTCCTTTAATATTCTTGGGTGAAGATTATCTGGGCCCCCCGATTTAGTCCCATTAAGCTGTTTGAGTTTCGCTTCTACCTCAGATATGATAATATCTACTTCCATATCCTCATTCCCATTTGTCATGCTATCATTATCCCTAAGATACTCTTTAGCCTTATTAAAGACTGAGGCAAAGTATTTGTTTAGATGTTGGGCCATGCCTAGATTATCCTTGACCTCCACTTCATCCTCAGTGTTTAGCGGTCCCACTTCTTCTTCCTTTGTTTTCTTCTTATTTATATGGCTATAGAACCTTTTACTATTGGTTTTAATTCCCTTTGCAAGGTCCAACTCTACTTGACTTTTAGCCTGTCTCACTTTATCCCTACATGTTCTGACCTCAATAAGGTAGCTTTCCTTGCTGATCCCTCCCATCTTCCAGTCCCTGTATGCTTTCTGTTTTTTCTTAATCACCTCTCTGAGATGCTTGCTCATCCAACTTGGTTTACAACTCCTTTTTCTCTACGTAAAAGAATAAATGGACACAAATCAGATGTCAAGAATTATAACATTCATAAACCAGTCGGAGAACACTTCAATCTTTCTGGTCATGCGATTACAGACATGAAAGTTGCGATATTACAACAAAAAAAACTTCAAAACCAGACTCCAGTGAGAGACTGTTGAATTGGAATTCATTTGCAAATTGGATACAATTAACTTAGGCTTGAATAGAGACTGGGAGTGGCTAAGTCATTATGCAAGGTAACCTATTTCCCCTTGTTTTTTCCTACCCCACATTCTTGTTAAACCCTGGATTTGTGCTGGAAATGGTCCACCTTGATTATCATACACATTGTAAGGAGAGTGATCACTTTAGATAAGCTATTACTAACAGGAGAGGGGGTTTGGGGCGGGGGGGGGGGGAGAAAACCTGGATTTGTGCTGGAAATGGCCCAACTTGATTATCATACACATTGCAAGGAGAGTGATCACTTTAGATAAGCTATTACCAGCAGGAGAGTGGAGTGGGGGGAGAGAAAACCTTTTGTAGTGGTAAACACCCATTTTTTCATGCTTTGTGTGTATAAAAAGATCTTCTACACTTTCCACAGTATGCATCCGATGAAGTGAGCTGTAGCTCACGAAAACTTATGCTCAAATAAATTGGTTAGTCTCTAAGGTGCCACAAGTCCTCCTTTTCTTTTTGTGAATACAGACTAACATGGCTGTTACTCTGAACTCCTGCCTATGAATTTTTTTCCCTTTCTTGGGATGCAGGCTTCCGATAGCTTCTGCAGCTTTGGTTTAAAGTAATCACAGGCCTCCTCTACCTTTAGATCCCTAAGTTCTCCAGTCCAATCCACTTCCCTAACTAATTTCCTTAATTTTTGAAAGTCAGCCCTCTTGAAATCAAAAACCCTAGTTGCAGATTTATTTTTGTTAATCCTTCCATTCAGTTTGAACTGAATTAGCTCATGATCACTTGAACCAAGATTATCCCCTACAACCATTTCTTCTGTGAGGTCCTCACTACTCACCAAAACCAAATCTAAAATGGCATTCCCTCTAGTCGGTTCAGCAACTACTTGATGAAGGAATCCATCAGCTATCACATCTAGGAAAATCTGAGCCCTATTATTATTACTAGCACTCATCCTCCAGTCTATATCTGGGAAGTTAAAGTCTCCCATGATCACACAGTTTCCATTAGTATTTACTTTATTAAAAACATTAAAAAGGGCTCTATCCATATCCAAATTAGATCCCGGCGGTCTATAGCACACCCCAAGCACTATCCCAGGGGAGGCTCTAATAGTTTTCTTCCCCAATGTAATTTTTGCCCAGATGGACTCTGTCTTATCCTTTCCATCCCTTCTTATTTCTTTACATTCTACCTCATCATTGATATACAATGCTACTCCACCACCTTTACCTTCATTTCGGTCTTTCCTAAACAGCACACACCCTTCAATACCCGTACTCCAGTCATGACGACTATTCCACCCTGTTTCTGTTCTCCCTAGAATATCCGGTTTCTCTTCCTGCACCAGTAGCTCTAGTTCCTCCATTTTGTTACCTCGGCTCCTCGCATTAGTGTACAAACATCTTAATTTTTGCTGTTTGGCCTCGCTCACATTCTGTACCCTATTAGGCATGGTCATTCTACAGCCAGTATGACCTATTAGACTGGTATCCACACTGCCCTTCCTCCTTATATACATTCTCCTACCCACGGCTGTATACTACAGGCCAGTCAGCCTCACCTCAGTCCCCGGAAAAATCATGGAGCAGGTCCTCAAGGAGTCAATCCTGAAGCACTTACACGAGAAGAAAGTGATCAGGAACAGTCAGCATGGATTCACCAAGGGAAGGTCATGCCTGACTAATCTAATCACCGTCTATGATGAGATTACTGGTTCTGTGGATGAAGGGAAAGCAGTGGATGTATTGTATCTTGACTTTAGCAAAGCTTTTGACACGGTCTCCCACAGTACTCTTGTCAGCAAGTTAAAGAAGTATGATTCTGTGATTCTATGTATGGCCACTGGGATGCATTCATGGACAGAGGACAGTTCTCTCGGGATGGACTTCATCTGAGTAGGGAAGGAAATAGACTTCTAGGATGGAGGCTGGCACAACTGATTAAGAGAACTTTAAACTAGGAATCTGGGGGCCTTGACCTTCCCTTGGTGAATCCATGCTGACTGTTCCTGATCACTTTCCCCTCATGTAAGTGCTTCAGGATTGATTCCTTGAGGACCTGCTCCATGATTTT